CCAAACTTTACAACATTCCAACTAATTATTGCTGTTGCATGGTTGTTTTAATACACTTGATTCACAAGGTGGCAGGCAATTCTCATTGCCCTCCCCCTCAGTGTTAGCCGGCACTTGGTCCTTGATGTTCTGGTCAATATTTACTGCTCAACTGTGTCCCTAATAACAATGATTATCTGGTCATCAACATATTGCTGTTGCTGGGCTCTGCTCTCTGCCAATTGTCTTAGACATTTCATTTGCCTCTACATGTTAACAAATATTCAACTATTGTAAAAGTAAAGATAAACTCTCCATAATACTAGCACACCACCATTACAGCACCATAACTGTTAGTGCTTTAACCAGTGGGTGTTGAAGGAGTGAGGGTCTGAGAGCTTGTGTTTTCAAATAAATCTGTTGGACTATAACCTGGTGTTGTGTGATTTCTGAGCAAATTCATGGGCACATCAAGCAATCAGCAGGTCAGAAACAATGCTGTGGCCATAGACACAAGGGTTGAAGGGTTGGAGGTGGAGGGATTCCTCCTTTGAGGTAGCAGTTGTGACTGGTGAGTTAACAAATAACGTGTGTGTTAGCTTGGTGAAGAAGTTTTTAAGAACTACCTTAAAGAAGAAAAGACAATTAAAGAAATGGAGAGATTACAAAAGGAAATTTCAAAGCTTAAGATAGTCAGACAACAACTGGAGTACTGTGAACAGTTTTATGCCCCTTATCTACAGAAAGATTTAGTAGCATTGCAGGCATTCCAGAGAAGGCTGATACCAGGTACAGAACACAGTCTCTTGAGGAGAGTTTGAGCAGATTGGGTCTATGTTCATTGGAGCTTAGTAGAATGAGAGACAACCTTACTGAAACATACAAGACTCTTTGGGACTTGACAGTGTAGATGGGAAAAGTTGTTACCCCTGTGGGAGAATCTAGGACCGGGGGCATAATCTCAGAATAAGGGTCCCACATTTAAGACAGAGACAAGGAGGAATTTCTTCTCTCAGAATGTGCGGAATTCTTTACCATAGAAGGCCGGTAAGTTTGGATTGTTAAGTATATTCAAGGCTGGGGATAGACATATTTTTAAACAGTAATGGAATCATGGGCCCTAGGGGAAAGACAGAGCAGACTCGATGGGCTGAATGAGCTACTTCTATTCCCATGTTTTATATAAGTGGCTGAAGGCATTGTTGCCAATGGTGTACATGATGGTAATGTCACTAGACTACTAAGTCAGAGGCTCAGGCTAAGGTTCTGGGAGTAGATGGCAGATGGTGAAATTTGACTTCAATAAAAATCTAGAATGACAATCATGTAACCACCATCAGTAATGATAAAAACCCATCTCGTTCACTGAAGCCTTTTAGGAAAGGAAATCTGCCATTCTTAGCTGGTCTGGCCTACATGTGACTCCAGACCCACGGCAATGTGGGTACCTCTTAACTGCCCTCTGGGCAATTACGGATGGGCAGCTAGTGAGGCCCACATCCCATGAGCAAAAACAAAATGGCAGAAAAGTTCTGAATTGACCTCAACTCCAAGGCCAGTGGGAAATGGGACGCCAGCAAGGAATGTCTGGAGTAATCAAGTCTGGAAGAAACAAAGTAGTGGTGGAGGGTTTCAGCAGCAAAGACGCCAAGAGACAGGTGTCACAAAAGGTGAATATAAGCAGTATTAGTTACGGCATGAATATATGATTGTAAGCTCATCTTGGGATCATAAACAACATGAAAGTTCTACCTACAACACATGGACTGTAATGGTTCAAGAAGGCAGCTCACTACCACCATCTCAAGGGCAGAAAGGGACAGGTAATAAATGCTGGCCAGTAGTGATACCAATACCTCATGAGTGAATAAAAAAATGTTGCAAACAAGCTAGTTCAGTCTCAGATAATTGCTAGTTGGAGGAATGGAGTCCATGACGAAGGAACAGACTTGTGACCAGGCATGAGACACATGTCTTCAGTCTAACTAGTACTCAATCAGAAGGCATATCTGCTCACCCAGTTCTTTCAGTTTTTATTTAATATTTAACTCACTGCCACATCTCTTCTAGGCATGCCAAGTTCCGAGGAAGGGTCAGCAGACCCGAAACGTTAACTCTGATTTTTTTTTTCTTCACAGATGTTGCAAGACCTGCTGAACTTTTCCAGCAACTTCTCTTTTTGCTTTTGATTTACAGCATCCGCAGTTCTTTCGGTTTTCATCCAGTACTGATGTTGGGGACAAGAAATGTGACAACTTTGAGAAAAGTCCCGAGCACTCTTTTGGCTTTTGAACAAATAAAAGGTCCATGTGCCCGAACAATTCCATGGAATTTGATGAAATGGCCTCACTTCCAAAGTTAGCATGCTTCAGGAGCAGAGTGAATACTGGTTGTTATTTTTTGTGTTACAAGGAGCGAAAGATCATTACTGCTCCCTGGAAAAATGGTATTATACTCATCAATGCAATGTAATGTAATGGCTCTCACAGTTTGCCTCTGTACACTAGTGTACTCATCTGGAAAATATGACAATGCTCATGAGGCAGGATCACAGTTCCCAGTATATACAATGAAGAGATTTAGTATTTATAAGCCTGGAGCACAATTGGATATTATACAGTAAAGGTGAAAGCCTGACGCTTGTAAACAACCAATGACACTAAGTCTTTAAGTACAGATGAAAATGGAGGAATTCACTCATAACATGAGCAAGCTATTGTTTGCTTTTCAGTCTCTAAATTGATTCGCAGGATCTTACAAAGACAGTGTTGATGATATTGTGCAAGGATCTTAATATTCATCAGCAAGTTGACAAAATTTCCGCAACACAAAAGTGTGAGGAGAGCACTATTTTTTTCAATTGATCTATGGATTTGGGCATTAATGGTGAGGTCTGTATTTGTTGCTCATCATTGTTGATGTCAGGGTCCTGAACCAGCTAACTCCCTGTATGAACCCAAACTTAGACAGCCTTGGCCATCAAAACTCTCTCTCTTCATATGAGCACACAAACTGGGAGCAGACACAGGCCATTCAGACCTTCAAACCCGCTCCACCTTTCAATGAGATCATGGCTGATCAGTTTGTATTTCCAATTCCACATTCCCAGTTGTCCCCAATAACTTTTCATTTCCTTGCCTGAAAAAGATTTATCCACTTGTCTTAAAAAAAGGTCAATTACTCTGTCTCCACCACTTTCTGAGGCAGACAGTCCCAAAGTTGCACAGCTCTCAGAAAAAATAATTTCTCTTCTTCTCTACCTTAAAATGGGCAATTCCTGATCTGTAAACACAGTTCCTAACTCTGGATTCACCCATAAAGAGGAAAAATCCTTTCCACATCCATCTCGTTGAGACCATTTAGCATCTTGCATAATTCAATCAAGTTACCTCACTCTTCTAAGCTCCAGTGAAAACAGGGTCACTCTGTCCAACCATTCCTCATAAGACAACCAGATATCAGTTTAGTAAACCTCCTCTAAACTACCACCAATATATTTACATCCTTCCTTAAATAAGACCAAAACTGCATTCTGTATTCAAGACGTGGTTCTACCAGTGCTCTGTGTAACTGAAGCATAGCATGCTTACTTTTATGTTCAATTCCTTTTATAATAAAGCATAGTATTCCATTAGCCTTAATGAGTTGTTATATCTGTGTAACTTTTGTGACTCATGCACTAGAGCACCTAGAGCAACATCTGCACATCAGAACACTGAAACAGTTCTCTATTTAGGTAATACTTCTTTTAAATTCTTCATGCCTAAGTGAACAACTTCACATTTATCCATATGAATCTCCATTATTTGGAGATTATTATCCAGTCTAGGGGGGAGACGATGGTCCAGTGGTATTATCACTGGACTGTTAATTCAGAGATCCGGATAACGTTCTGGGGACCCGGGTTCGAATCCCACCATGGCAGATGGTGGAATTTGAATTCAATAAATATATCTGGAAGTAAGAACCTAATGATTACCATGAACCCATTGTTGATTGTCGGAAAACCCATCTGGTTCACTTAATGTCCTTTAGAGTAGGAAACTGCCATCCTTACCTGGTCTGGCCTACATGTGACTCCAGACCCACAGCAACGTGGGTGACACTGAACTGCCCTCTGGGCAATTAGGGATGGGTAATAAAAGCTGCCTTACTCTTTGTTTTCTGCCACCCAGGCAATCTTCTACTCATGCCAGTATGCCAGACACCTACACCTTGAGTGAGCTTGTACTTTGCACAGTAACCTTTTGATGTGGCAACTGTTAAAATGCCATCTGGAAATCCAAGTACAGTATGACTACAGGCTCCTCTTTATCCATAGTGCAGGTTACACTTTTAAGCAGTTCCAATAAATTGGTGAAACACGATTTCTTTTTGACAAAGGCATTATTTTCTTTTACATCAATACAAATGATCTCACATGAAAGACGTATTTACTGAATGGAGATCAAATCACACTCTGCATTCTGATGTAATGAAGAGGTGGGGATAGGGACAAAACCTCAGTGCCCTCAAACCTAAATAACTCATGTGACTGATCAACAGGATGAAGCATTCAGTCATCAAAAAACCACCTGGCTTACAGAAATTGGTTGACATATGACTCTGTTATTACAGCAGTAACCTGTTGTGTTAAATGATTTATTATTGGGCCAATCCCAGCATTTTTTTTACTGTCTCGCAAGCTTCCTACAGTCATGAGGTACATACTGCTCTGCAGAGGTTAAGTGTGGAGGAAGTTGTGATGTAAAAAGTCACTTACTCCACTCCATCTATAAGCAATGTACATAAGGCCCCCCATGACACATGGCCTCACGTACCCCTGCAATTATTCTAGGCTATGATGGCTTACTCATTTTCAGAGAGTTACTAGCACTTATCAAGGTTTCAGAGCAGCTCCCAATCACAGCCTCAGAATGGACATTATCAAACAATTCAATACGTAATTTAACTTTGAAAAGAAATCATTGACTTTTCACACACAAAAACATAAACATTGACCCATCTTTCTATTACTTTACCTCCATCTCTCTAACCAATGCCTCTGGGTTATAGCCATCTGTGGAGTTACTGGATCCTGCCAGGCCAAGTGCATGGGCCAACAACTGGACCAGTGTCTGTCTGTATGCCACTTTCTCTGGGTCACTCAGCGCCTTATGAATCAGTCCTCCTTCAAGCTTCCTCCAGCCTCCAAGGAGATGCTCCTGAAACACAAAACTCTGTCTCAATAAATTCAGCATGCATTCATTTGGTTCTCATTTCCTCACCTACATATTTTGCACATTTTGGAAACAAGGCAAAAAGCAAACTTTGAGAACATCTGCAGAATACTGAACATTATTCATTGTTCTGAATCCTGGATGGGAATACATTATATCAGTGTAACAGATGCTGAACATATGAATTGTTTGGACCAGAGGTATCCTTTCTACACTAAGCCATGTTTAGGGGACGGGAGTAAATTCCTTAAAATTAAGAGTTAAACTAGTGCAAATATGGATGGTCAAATAGTCACCATTTTTTGCTATGCAGTGGCACGAAGATCAAGTCAATGTTAAATACAAGGTTATACTCTCTGCTCTATATCATGAGAGTGTTCACCACTTCCTCTCTTCACTGGCTTTAAATTTTTAATCTTTATTAAACCACTGTGTGAATACATTTACATTTCTTAGACTACTCCCATGTTCTCTCTGAAGAAAAATATCACTCATCGTTACATAATGTTGAATTATTGTAAGCACATTTCTGATCCTACATTCTAGGTAGATGTGTACTTTCTCAGAAGGCTCAAGAGGACATGTTGCCCCTCCAAAGTAACTGTTTAATTGGTCCCTGTACAGCTGTTATGAAGGGAGCAAGAAAGATGAAAGCAATACCAAACTCTGTAAATTCTTTCCAGCTTTCTCTAGTCTTCCAATATGGTTCCACACTCTGTAAACAGACAATGTTTTAACGCAACCTGTCTCAGAATGGAGCTAATGTTACTGTGAAACCAGTAAATCGCAAATGATAGGAAAAAAAATCTTCAGGAAATCATTAAAATACAAGTTGTTAGTATGTTGCTGATCTGCTATGCTTACAATACACTAATTCCTCATTTGTCAGTTAAGCTTTATCAGCAACAGTGACACTAATTATACAAAATCAATAACATATTTCTTTTCTTGGTGACCAGTTTGAACCTAGGTGAATAGAACAGAGATTCAAAAACTGAGACTGGGAAGAAAACATGTTTAGCAATTACAATCCATACCAATCCTGTCACACTGCAATCAGGCAACATTTTGGCAGTCGTGTTCAATTCTGGCAAAAGAATTCATTCATTATCAGCCAAACAACAGCAGGCATACAGAAAGAAAGCAGTTACATCACCATGGACATGCAGTTAGAATGCTAATATCAACTCCATTGGAAAATGAGTGAGTTTGGGTTTAGTCCACTTCTAACAGACACAGAATGAAGAGCTGGAGGGGTGCAAGATAGAGACCTATCTAACCCCAGGGAGCTGTTGAAACATTGTAAAGGTTGTCTGTCTTCATTTTAACAGGGAATCTCTGTTCAACCCATGCTAGCCAGATTTCCCTCACCAACTTGGGAAACCTGTCAGGTAAAACCCACAAGAAAGATCATCCCCTTCGGATAACTGTCTCTAAAGCACTGCTTAAGGATCAGGAGAACAATGAGTGCTTCCTCCAAGTCCAGTAAACTAAGCCTGTAATGAGCGCACAGCCCCATATCCTCACCCTCCCCCACCCCCCCCGTATCCCTCTGCACTTTCCTAGAACACTCCCATCCCTTCCAAAAATCACCAGGCACTCTCCTTCAGTGTCTATTTTCACATGTCCCAATCTACCCTACAATCTCCAGCTCTCCCCGACCCTTTGTCACATCATCTGTACCCATTAAATATCCCACCTGACCACTTACCCCAAAAATCTAACAAACCTACCCGCTGTTAGGTTCCAGTCTTTTTCCTGAGCCTTCCTCACCTAAAGGACAGGCCTACTGGCTTTCTGGCTGCCAATCCTATTTAAAAAATACTCACTAACACCTTGGGGTAAAACTCCACAGCATGTTCAAAGAAAGCCTCCATAACTCCTGTTCCACCCCTGTCACCACCACAACCAGGTCAAATATTTTCACATAAAGGTAAATAATGTCCACATCAAAAATAATGCAAAAAACAATTTGGAAACAATAGTATAAAATTCTAGAAATACTTTGCAGGTGAGGTTGTATCCGTGGAGACAGAAACAGAATTAACGAATCAGGTTTATAAACTTTCAACAGAATAAGGAAGATTTGAAGAGTTGAATAGCTTTTGCACAAGTTCACAGCAGGAAATGTACCAGTAGGAGGCCTCACCTCAAACACCTGCCCACACATCCTCCTCTTAGATGCCCTTCTCCCAATCTCTATACTTGCTTCAATGTCGATCAGTGCTGATATCTTTCAGTTCTATTAAAAGGCTATTGACCCAATGCATCAACTGTTTTTCACAGTGCAAGTAAAAATAACTCACCTTCTTAAGAATGGGGATTAAATTTGAAAAGGCCAATAGTAACTCATTAGATATGAGTTGTCATTAGACCAGGTTAATTAAGTAGAACTTACAAAGATCTGACAGAGGCACAAAGGGTTATATGGCCCCCATCTACGCTGCATGGTGTGACATAGAATGAAGCTTTTCAGTCGACTGAGTGTGAGCCCAATATTAACATAACTTACATCATGCAACAATTTTACAGTGAAAAAGACCTTTTACTGCAAGTCAGGCTATAAATCCCACACTGCCTCCAACTCAATGGCTTGTGTAGTTGTACTGATAATTCATTAATACAATGGCCGATCTGTAGTTTAACCTTCTGTTGCCTGGGGAAGTACTTGGCTTCCATTTGGTTTCTAGTTGGCACAGTTGAGATTAGGCATTGGTATGCAGAAAGTGGAGTTGAAGCCCAAAATTAGCTTTGATCATATTAGATGGTTTAGCAGGCTTATTGGGTCCGATATAGCTCGATTCTCTGAGGCACTAAAAAGCAATCCATCCCACACATTTAATGATGGAGCATTCATAACACTCTGGGGGAGAGAACTCCAAAGATTCACAACACTTTGCGTGAAGCAATTTCTCCTTATCTCAACCCTGGTTGATCAGTCCCTTATCCTGAAACACTGTTTCTGCAGGTCAGGGAATCTATAACACAAGGGACAATCTCTCAGTGTCTACCCTTTCAAGCCAGAATCTTGTGCAACTCAATGAGGTCATCTCTCATTTTGCTGAGCTCCAAAGAACATCAGCTCAATTTACTTAACCTCTCGTCATAGGACGACGCCTTCGTTTCAGATGGGATCTTTATGTACAGACATGGAACAGGAATTCTCCATTTCCTAAACATTAATCCAGACTCTAGATTGGAAGAGCAGTGATTGATTTACAGCTTCACTTAGAGCTCCTACCACTTTTATTCCACTGTCATGAATATCATTATTGGAAGAACTGGTTACACCACACACTCAAAATGCCAATTAAAATTTAGGTGCAGTATGACTTTGAACCACATTATTTAAATTTTACTACAGTATGAAATTCAGGATCCTTAAATAAATCTTTCATTTTTTCCCCTCTTGTTCTCAGCAAAAACAAATTAAGACTTAGTAAAGGTCAAGTGGCTAATTTCTTGTTAATCGTAATTTATTTTCATGATTATTTGAAATATGATATTAACTTAACACTGCCCATAAATTTGAAATAAGCAGTGACATGTTATGTTTAAGTGCTTGGGTGACAAGCCTCTGAACAGCTACATGTTGAACTGCCTTGCCACTGAATGTAATTAATGAAGAAGGTGAAGTGTAACACAACCTGCTGTTACTGCTGCCACACTGATGCCATCACTTTTCATAGTGGATAGTCTAAGCATCTTGTGGTAAAGTCGTATGTTCCTATCCCCGAGCCAGGAGGCCCAGTTTAAATCTCACTTGTTCCAGAAGGTATAAATAATATCTCTGTACAGGTTGTTCAGAAATAATCCAGTTTATATTAACATCAAGCCTGATCTAAGCAGTTACACATCTGACCTTAACGTGCTTAACAGTGATAAATGGTAAATGGTAAAAACAAGTTCATAAAGTAGCAATCAGGTCAATTGAATTTGATGGATTTCTTTGAGGGTGTGTCTCAGGAGGCTTGAGGATAAAGCAGTAAATGTACTGTACTATGAAACTTGACATTTCCAACGTTCTGACCTCTTCCCTTAATTGTATTAATGATATTGATTCCAAGCCAGACAGGCCTGTACATTTCAGACAGTTAAAGTCACATGTTGTGACATCATGTATGATATCAAAGCTCCTGTCACACCTTCAGTGACTCTCTGTGTATAATGAACTCAGTCGAGAGTCTGCAGTCGGTCAGCAATGGGTATGTAACAGTAACATCAGTAAGAACAGAAAACAGACTATGTGCAAGTCTGTGATATTGTAGCAGTGTAAACAGTGCCGTTAATGCATTTCAAAATATCTGTCTCAACAAGAACCTGACTCTCTGTGGTATAGATTATGCAGATCTAAGTATAGAAAATCATCTATAGATGAGGAGGAACTTCTCGGAGGATAGTGAATCTGTGGAATTCTTTACCACAGAGGGCTGTATCGATTGGGTTGTTCAGTATATTCGAGACTGAGAGACAGATTTTTAATCAATAAGGGAGTCAAGTGTTGTGGAGAAAAGGCAGGAAAGTGGAGGCAAGGATTATCAGAATAGCCATGATCTCATTGACTGGCAGAGCAGACTCAATGGGCTGAATGGTCTACATTGGCATGGACGAGTTGGACCAAAGGATTTGTTTTCATGCTGTACAACTCTATCTGCTCCTACATCTTATAGGAGGAGATGGTCATTATCCAGCACCTGCAGGGTGTGAATCTTACTTGTTCTTATCGTCTCAAGCTGAAATGTTGTCAAGGTTTTGCTGGTTGTGGAAACGGAATGCTTCAATATGTGAGAAGTTACAAATGGTATCGAACACTGTCCAACACCAGCGAAAAATCCCTGCTTTTGGACTTTAGAGAGAAGGTCATTAAAGATGCTTGGAGCTAGCACACTACTCTGAGGTACACCTCCATGTCGTGGAGCTGAGATGACTGACCTCCAACAACCACAATCAGCTTCCTATGTGTCAGGTATGACTCCAACCAGAAA